TATGCTCTTGGGTGACGATGCAGGTCACAATATTCCTGTTCCACCCTGGGTTTTACTCCTTTTGTATGGACCTCCGCTGCCAAGTGGGTGCTCCCCATGCTTTGGGCCCTCCCTCCGTGGTAGACCACTATTGATGATCATGACTGTGGGGACAGGGGGATTGTCTATGGTCCTGTTCCCAGTCTCAGTCTGAGGCAGGCCCTGGTCTCCTACTTGGCATGTGAGGACCCAGTGGAAGCTGAAGTCGTGGAGGAGAACTTGCATGGGTGTGAACTGCCCTGGGCTGTTTGGATGCCACCACCACCCCCTGCCCCCAACACCAAGGCTCCATGGGTTGAAACTTGGTCCCCACCGGGCGGTGCTACGATGAAGGAAACTCAGTCCAACTCTTGCATTTAGAAATGTGGCCTACGGAAGTTGCTATGGGATAAGGTCATTAGGAGACCCTGTGACCGAATCCTGGTGGCTTTATGAGAGGGAGAGAGACCGGAATAGACACATGTTCCTGCTCTGTGCTGCCTCAGGACTCTGCCAGGGAGACCATCAGCAGAACTGTGAGATAAATAAAAACCTCTTTTCTTTACAACAAACCCAGTCTGTGGCATGGTGTACTAGCAACAGAAAACGGACAGAGACTCTGTGGCAGTCCCCTGAGTTCCACACCCAGCCTGCCCTACACCCAGCCCCTGGCAGTTTTTACATTTTCCCCATTTTAAAGATGAAGAAACTGAGTCTGGAGAGCTCAAGTGACTTGCCAAAGACACCCACAACTGGGACTGGAGCACAGGCATCGGGGTCTGTATTGCCCAGTCGTTGGCCTCCACTGCAGAGGTTAAACTTAACCCTCGACGGATGAGGGAGGCTGGAACCTCACATGCAGCGATGAAGGCTCTGACCAGGCAGGAGAAACCACATGCACACTCTAGCACAGGAAGCATGGTGAATTCCAGCTAGACACCAGGTGCCGCAGTCTGGCTGGGCAGAATTCAGGAGCCACTTGTCAAAAGAAACTAACTTTATTTTTAGAACTACAAATGACAAAACAGCTCCTCAGGAAAAA